ACGGAATAAATCTCTATCTATAAAAGGCAAGATATGTGTGTGTGTGTGTAACGAATGCACGACCACAATTTTCGACGGATTTGCACCAAAATTTACATGCACATGCTCCAAGTTAGCGGGAAGGCGAAGACGGACATTGCATTTCCCAACTCCCATCGATAGTGAAAATAATCGATTTTTTCATGCTTCTACGGCAGTTTTCATGTAGTTTGCGGTCATTTTCTACTGGCCAGAGTGAGAGCCAATAGCTGGCTGCCACGAATAGGGAGGAAGATTCTATTGGCCAGCGTGAGAGCCCACAGCTGACTGACACGAATGTTAACTAGCATGCTAGCATGTAAAAAAAATCGATAGCTACATTCGTCACAAATGGGAAAATTTTAAATCTGCATGGCACTTTACTCCAATTGGCTCATTCGCTTGCTTAAACTCAACGTTGATTCTGATTCCGCAGAATTGGGTGAAAAGTATTTGTTGTTAACATTCTTTTTTCATTCGGTTTTTCCAGTTACGAGTCCTTTTTTTTTTTAAAGCTGATCGTTTTGTGTTCATTTTATTTAGTTCTTTTTTCGTAACAGATTTAATGTTTAGTATGGAGCTTAGAAAAAATTCGCAGTGTGAGATAGGCAAGAAATAAGGCATGTAGCAACATCAGCACGGCAAAGGACACTCCTTTAAAGGCAAGGAAGGGCAAAAATATTTTAAGTCAAGTGATAGCGATTGCTGTATGAGTCGTACGATTTTTGAATCAAGCACGGGCAACGCCGGGCCATGCTGCTAGTAATGACTATAATGAAAAGAGAAAAAATAAAATGAAAGTGAAAGAAAAAAGATATGAAGAATACAGTACAAGGAAAATTGAGCGTTGAATGTTCACCATAAAATCTGGTATTAAATATAGGTTTCTGTCCATTAATGACCACCGTCCCATTTTTTAGGATATTTGGTTTTAATGGATTCAATTAGAAAGAAGAATATCAAGAAATTAAGCATGAAAAAGAGTAAGACAAACGCCAATAATAATAATAACTGAAAATCTTTAAAAAATATAGGGTTCATGAAGTGGAAATCTGAAAACAAAGACTCCTTTTGAAACCTCGCCAAAGTAGTCGGTACCCTCCAAAATACCTGACTAGCCTTGAATTTGCCAAGGATCTTGCATTAATTTTTCAATGTATCAAAGATGCAGAATCCTTGCTGTAATCACTCGAGCAAGCAGCGAACCAGGTAGGTCTCTATTGCAAGGTGAGTAAGACAGAATATATCACAACCTCCCCTGAACCATCCGAGAGGAAGTCACTTGATCATCCATGAAAAGAGTTCAGGGCTTGAAATATCTTGGATCTCACATAATAGATTACCAAAAAGCTCTTGGTTGCGCGTAACAAACTTCACAAATTTTGGCCTTCTTCAAAGTTCAAAAATTTCAAAATTGATTGAACCAGTTCTACTGTATGAATCAGAAATTTGGACATTATTTGTTCGTCTTGAAAGACGACTGGATGGAACATATACGAATCTGCTTATAAAAATGAAGAACATCAGTTGGAGATTCCATGTAACTCTTCACACAATTTACAGAGAACTGAGACCAGTCTCTTAAGCTCAAACAAAAGCGATTGCATTTCGCCGGGCTCTTCCATCGAGCGGATGGGGAGGTCGTCTCATCCTTACTTCTATAGAATCCTTCTGGGGGTGTCTTCTCACAAAAGTCGACTTTTCCAGACACCATTGCTCGGGACGCAGGGTTGGACATTGGGAATCTAGGGACAGCAATGTAGGACCGAGCAGTGTGGAAAGGGATTGTTAATGGAGTTCCGATCATCCATAGGAAGGTCGACGGATGATGACGATGAGTGACATTATCACCTTGCTTGGGGTGACATGATTAAAAAAAAAACAACATGCATTTTTCTATCATTATTAGAATATTTGTAACAATCTTGGAAAAATTAGTAATAGTCCTGGGTGTGACGATAAACTACATCCGGCAGCAAGGCATCTGATCGAGAAATTGGAGATATGGAGGAGCATGGAACCACCTGTTAATTGCTGTTGTTCCCAGGCCCACTTTGACTTGGAGGGGTAGCACTTGATAGGATCCCAGCTATGGGCAAATAGTGACCCCCCCAAACAAAAACAAAACACTATGAAAGTATAAAAATAGATTTGTATAGTAAAAATACCAGCAATACCTTTTTAAATAAAAAATTACCAACAATACATATGCAACAAGACATTCAATTGCGTTCAAAATATCTAGATTTCAGTATTAAATAACCCATAGAAGTTGATGTGTCGCTAAACAAAATCAATCAACCAACCAACAATACTTATTTATAGTAAAATGACCAGCAATACATTTTTAAATAAAAAAATTACCAATAATATATTTTGTAGAAAAAGGACCAACAATACGTTTGACCTGTAACTGAAGGCATAAAACTACGTTCAAAACATGTTTAAAATATTTGCTAAAATCAGTTAAATTTGAATACTGGTAAGCAATAATTGAACAATACTAAATATGAATTAGACGAGATATTTTAAATTTGGTCAGCGGAACGAGACAGTCTACAGCCATATGTTGAATAAAAAATTCAGTTTGAAATTCCGTGAAAGTTAATCAAATCAACAGGCTCCTGATGAATGCCGGAGGGAACAACGGCCGAAACGTTATGATAATAACAACAAAAATGAAATATGTAAATAATGTAAATAATGATAACTCTTCGTCCCATGAATTTAGATTTGTTGTCACTTGATATCCAGTGAAAACAACCAGTTATTTCTGCGTGTTAAAACTTGTTAAAACTTAATAATAATGATGATGATGATGATAAAAAATGGCTGACGTAACTCTTTCAATATTTTTCAAAAGCCAAGAGAAGAGCGCGAAATGAAAAAGAAAAGACAGTGTTTGATAATGTTCAACAATTTTTCGACATTGTGTAATAATAATAATAATAATAATAAACGGAGATAGGAC